AGTTAATTATTTTATGTTGAGATGTATCTTATTTGTCTATAAATCTTATGCATACATTAATTTCATATAAAAATACAATGGTAAAATAGGTATATATATTTTAAAAAATTTTAAAAATTAAATTTAAAAAAAATTAAAAATAAAAATTAAAAAAATAAAAATTTTAAATTAAAAAAATATTTTTTTCATCTTAACTAAGAGTGAAAATTTTCGACTCAACACGATGACACGACTCGAACTCGATACGAAAATAAATAAGTCAACTCGCAACACGACACGACACAATTAGTTAAATGAGTTAAGTTAAGTTTGACTAATACTCAACACAAACTCGTAATGACTTAACACAAGTTTGACATGACACGACTCGACTTTATTGTCACCTCTAATGGGCCACAATAATGTAATGCGTTTTTTTTTTTATGAGTAATGCACTGAAAATTAAAAATTTAATCTAATTTACTCACTTAATGTTGCGTCAAATAATAGAATTCTGATAAATGGCAAACTGTTAAAACCAAAACAATATTAGGATGTAATAGCACTACTCATTTTTTGTTTTGATTAAAATATTTATTATGATGAAAATATAAATTGATAATTAAAATATTTCAATAGTCAAAATATTTATTATAATTAAAATGTCCATAACTAAAAATAATTTGAGTTGTAATTGGATCACAATTCTAAGTGATTTAACTATTTAAGTTGTTATTATTGTGCTTTTATCTCCTGGAGAACACTATCACCGTGGAACCGATTTTTTTTTTTTTGTGGGATTGTACCTCCAAGTTTTATAAATTTTTTGAGTTTTAATACAAGTTTACGAGTTTACTAGGGATAACCTGTACCTGAAGGTATGGTACAATGTATATGATTTTAAGAGTAATGTTGATGGCCGTTGAATGAGTCTATTTGAGACAGTCAGATAGACTTATTAAAGCTTTTCTTTTTTTATATTATAAATTTACAACCAAAGTTATGCTACAAGTTTTGAAGTTCAAATTATGATTGATCATAATATTTCTAGAATCGATCGTAACTTACAATAAAAATAGTAAATGACACACAAAACTTATAATATTTCTATAATATGTGTACGACTCCAAATTAATTTTTTATAGTGCATCTTTTCATTTGGTGTTTTTCATCATATAAATATCTTCTTTAGTCTCCTACATCATAAATGCTGACGTAATACCGACAACGTAGTAACTTCAGCATTAAATTCCAACTACCCCCAGGTCTGTGTACATTGCCTTCGTCATTAATGTGCATCCTGTGAATTTACACTTTTACCATCCTTTTCTTAATTTTTTTTTTTTTTTTGTATTTTTGTGTGTTGATGTGGAAGGATTGGATTAAGGATATAGGTTGGTGGATAAAGAATATTAGATTAATGATCACACGTGAGTTCAAAAATAATTAGGGACGACGACTTTGACATTATTAAATCCTAATCCTAATTACCAATATCATAATGGAGGGTATTATTGTAAAAAGTTTAGTGAACAAAGGTATTTTTGTAATTTGTTGACTTAGATTAACATATCAATAATCTTCAGGAGTCAAATACATTCTAGTGAACATTGAGTCATATACTGGAAGGTTTACTCCAATGGATTAGATCTTCAAAACTCCACCAAATATTGAGTTTGACAATCATGCTTGTTCACCCAAGTTACTCAATTTTCCCTGTAGGAGGGTCATACTGTCTTGTCTCTATGTGGGAATTGTTCCTCTTAGTTCAGTGGGTCATTCAAGTAACAATGTTCAATAGGTTGAGGATATCATTCATGCAGTTCTATTATTGTTCACCCTTGATGAAGAGTTCATTTTATCACTTCCAATATGCTGGGATGGGGGGGGGTCTATTACCATGTCAACTAATAGTTCTTGTTACTCTTTTTTCTATGGTGCGAAACAAATGTCTTAAATTTTTCGGGTACTACATCTAAAGATTATAATATAACAAGTTCTATTTATTATTCTTTTGGATCAAAAGTGTAGTTAAGTGTGTATTTGTTTCCATACAACATGGGAGGCTTGAGTTCTCCATGTTCAGGGGCAAAATGTCATTCGCCCCAATTTTGAAGCAATACCACGAGGGTTTCACCATAGGTGATGGCTCAAGGCTACCACTTTCCTCAGAATTACGGCTTCTTAGGGTTAGTTTGCCCTTTTCCTTTGCCTGTGAATTGTTGCAGTAGATGATGCCGATTGTGAATGTACAACTAAATTAAATACAATCTTTTAAAAGTTAAGCCATTTTAATGTATTGTGAGGTTCGCACTTCGCCCACAACGTCCTATTTTTGTATTTGCTCTAAGTTTTAAAAAAAAAAGAAAAGTGACCCAAATGTTTCAATTTGTTCCCTTGAAAAAACATCAAATATTGTAAGCTCACCTTAATTGCAGTTAAAACCTTGCTTTCAATTTGTTCTTTTATAATTTGTTTTATAGTTTTTTGCAATTTATTTTTCTTTGCGGCAGGAGAAGTGAAATATATTCTAAAAAATTCCTATATAGTTTGGTGCTTTTAAAATGAAGCAAATGTCCTAACTATCCACTCACGTGGATCAAAAAGGTTGCTATCTTTTAATCTCCACCACTTGACTCTTTATATTTTTAAAATACGCACGGAAAACAAGAAAATCTATAGACTAAAAATGCTCACTATTGGTCTTTATATTTAAGTCATTACTATATTCTATGTTTTTATCTCTCAGAGAACACTATCATTATAGTACCGAAATATTTTTTTCGTTATTATCTTTTTGGTAATTTCTCATTGCCCTTAAAAATATCATGATTGATCATAATATTTCTAAAATTGATCACAAGTTACAACAAAAATAGTAAATGACCCACAAAATTATATGATTAATGCTTTTTTGATTTTAATTTTTAACTAATTTGTTAATTTAATGATGTGGATTCATTAAAATAATTAGATCAACACAAAATCCTAATATTTTATGAAACCAAAAATTAATTTAAAATCTATAATAAATTAGATTCGAATAACATTGTTCAAATTATGATGTTTACAATTCCAAATTAATTTTTTGTAGTACATCTTTTCATTCGATTTGTTTTATTATATAAATATCTTTCTTTTTATTTAGGGTTAATTACAAGTTACATCTCGAAAGATAGTTGAAATTTCAATTTAAATCCTTAAAGATCAAAAATTTTAATTTGTACTCTCAAAAATAGAAATTTGTATTAATGTGCACCCTAAAGATAAAAAATCTCAATTTGCACCCTCAAAAATAAAAAATTGTATCAATGTGCACCTAAAACTAAATTGATAAATTATAACTAGATTCTCTCATGCTTGTTACTTAATCATTTGGATCCCTTTCCATTTAGAATATTACTCCTACATCTCATGGCGTTTGTGCACGTGTAACATGTAACCCTTTTTTGTTAATATAACAGTTAAAAAATATGATTTTATTCTAATAAAAAATTTTAATTTTATATAATCCTTTTTTTTTTGTAAGTCCGATATACTCTAAATTTTAAAATCAAACTTACCATTTGAATGTTTAATAGAATGTAGATATTTATATAATATTTTTTATATCCAATGCAATATATTACTTAATGTGCAACCCCTTATTCTATTAGACATTCAAATGGTAAACTTGATTTTGAACTTTATAGTATATTAGGTCAATAAAATAAAGGGTAATATGAAATTATAATTTTTTATTAAAATAAAATCATATTTTTTAACTGTTTTATTAACAGATATCAACAAAAAGGGGTTACGTGTTACACGTGCACAAACGTAATGAGATGTAAGAGTAATATTTTAAATATGAAGGGAACCAAATGATTAAGCGACAAACATAAGGAGATTTAGGTATAATTTATCAATTTACTTTTAGGTGCACATTGATACAAATTTTTATTTTTACGGGTGCAAATTGAGATTTTTGATCTTTTGAGGGTGCACATTGATACAAAATTTTATCTTTGAGGGTAAAAATTGAGATTTTTAATATTTGGGGTATACATTGATATAAATTTTTATCTTAAAGATATAAATTAAAATTTTTAAATTTTTAAAGGTATAAATTAAGATTCGAATAATTTTTTATAGTGTAATTTATAATTAACCTTTTTATTAATGAGTCTTCTACATCACAAATGCTGACGTAATACTGGCAATGTATTAACTTCTCCATTAAATTCCAACCACCCCTCGTACACTATGTACACTGCCTTTGTCATTAATGCGCTTCCTGTGAATTTACACTTTTACTACCCTTTTGTTAATCACTTTTTTATTGTTGTATTTCGTGTGTTGACGTGGAAGGATTGGATTAAGGATATATAGCTAGTTGGTTAAAGAATATTATATTAAGGATCACGCATGAGTTGAAAAATTAATTAGGGATGACTTTGACATTATTAAATCCTAATCCTAATTACCAATATCCCAATGGAGGGTATTATTGTAAAATGCTGAGAGAACAAAGTTATTTTTGTAATTTACTAACTTAGATTAACATTTCAGTACTTTATAATGGAGCCAATTGAAATTAGTTGGTCCAATTAATTGTGAGATAATTGGATGATTAATGACCAATTGGAGATATAATAAAGGGATGAGGCTAATTGATAGCAGCCCACAATACTAGTCGTTTAACATCAGGGGGAGAAAATAAAATAAAATAAATTAGCGGATTAAAATTGATCATTTCTCAACACGAATTGATGAATGACTCAACCCATTAATTACTATTTATTTGTGACTTTTGATAAGATATCTCTTTAGACATTGTAATCAAGCTCATGGAAAACTATCTCCATTTTCATAAAGATACATATTGGCTAGTGAGAAAAGAAATATACTTGGATAGTGAGGGGTATTATGGTATTTTGATTCCACATACGATTACCTACTATCACATAAGGAATATGGTTAAGTAGACCTATTATAAATAGTTGCTCTCCTTCGCCTAATTTTTCATCCAAAATTTGAATCTGCACCCCCTCACAAAAGCCTTCACAAATTTGTTGGTGTGATGCAAACTTCCAATTAAAGCAATTATTTCAGAAGACAAAGAAGTTGCAAATCAGTAAGTTGTTGAATTCTATAATCATTTGTCTTGATTATTTGAAAAATAAGCTGTATTTCGATTCTTTCAAAGTATTCTTCTAATTGTGGTCATTACTTTTACACTAACCAAATAACAAACATTTATGATAGATTGGATGAAAAATTTTGCCACTTAATCTCCAGCAGTATGAGTTTTTTCACTTTGTTCTAGAATGACAGTGAACCAGAAAAAAATCAAGTATTCGTTCTAACTCATTTTGTTTGGATCGGAATAGACTATACATATTGAAAGATTGACATATATGAAAATAGTCGTATAAACTCGTGCGAGAATGGAGGCGGGAATAGATTGAAATTCATCTCATCTCTGCCTCTGCCACTCCTTTCTAAACCTATGAAATTCATATATATATATATATATATATATATATATATATATATATATATATATATATATATATATCATATTTCATAAAGACACAAACCCCACGCACCCATCTATCCACTTACTAATACATATACATAATATCACAAATCCCACACCTATCCACACACTTTTCTCTTTATTAAAAAAATACTTTACTTCCTCTCCTTTTTTCTTTTTTTTTGATTTATTTGTGATATAATGAGGTTTCATCTTACTTGCAAATTTATTTGTGAGATTTTATTAATTTTTTTTCAATTTTTTTCCTAAAAGCATAAAAATTAATTGTTATGGACGAAAATGGAGATTAAAATTTACCAGCAGGTCGGGGATGAGAGTTAAATTCTCCCCCCCCCCTCCACAAAATAGGGATGGACGAATATTTTTTAAACTAATACAGGATAGAGACTATTCCCACGACCCCCACTCTAGTCCACTCTCATCCTTACTTAGCCCCCAAATCCAAAAAAAATGAAGGGTGGATTGGCTAGTAGCCGGCTTATAGAAATTAAACCTTGCTTCGTGTGAAATGTTTTGCAAGTTTTTTTCCATTAGTTTTGCACTTTAAATTTATATGTGAAATATCTTCTGAGGGACTCTTATAGACTTTTTTGCCACTATTTATCTATTTGAAAGGGAAACCAAATGTCTCAGCTGTCTAGTGGCATCAACGAAAGGCTTGCTTTCTTATCATCCGCATCAATTTGCCCTTTTATCTTCAAAATAAATGAACAATTACACAGGCAAAATAAGAAAGCCTATGAACCAGAAATACTCGGTGTTGGTCCTTACTACCACAAAAAAGTTAACCTCCAAATGATGGAAGTGCACAAACTACGGTACCTAGATGAACTGCTTAAACGAAGAAATGAGAGTGTGGATGGATACTTGGAAGCCTTGAAAAATTTGGAGAAGGAAGCTCGGAATTATTATGCAGAACCCATTAAACTGAATAAGGATAAATTTGTGGAAATGATGCTACTGGATGGGTGCTTTATCATCGAGTTATTTCGCAAGTTTAACAATCCAACCTCAAGAGATGAACACGATCCCATTTTCCAAATTCCTAATATTCGGAAAAGTATACGACGTGACTTACTGTTATTTGAGAACCAAATTCCACTCTTTGTCCTCATCCAATTAATTGATATGACCGAAAATTCAAACCAAGGGAATCCACAAGACATCTTAGCTCGCTGGGCCCTCAATTTTTTTCGTGCAACCATTTCAAGTTTTCTGCCTTCACAAACTTCCAACAATCAACCAACCACAATTCCAACCACAATTCCAAAATATAACGACCGTCATCTTCTAAGCCTTGTACATGATGCCTGGTATTCTTTAATTGCTGAAAAGGGCTCCTCTCCTGAGACTGATACACACCATGGATTCATAAAAGGTGTTACAAAGGTCCTAAAATCCGCGATTGAATTCAGTAAGGGTAAAAAAAGTTCCTCGTCGCCCGATATTGATCTTGAAAATGTGTCTTGTCATGGGATTGATACAAACCACGAACTCAAAGAAGACTTTATATTGGTCAAAGAAAGTTCCATGTTCGTCGATAATGAGTTTGAAAATGTGTCCTCTTGTGCGACTGATACAAACGAGGAATTCATAGAAAGTGTTGCAGAGCCTACAAACTGTTCCTCGTCTAATGAAATTGAGTTTGCAAATGGGCCCTCTAGTGGGACTACATTCGAGAAGTCTCCAAGATGTTTCAGCCTCATACATGATGCCTGGTATTCTTGTATTCCTGAAAAGGGGACCTCTCCTCGGATTGATACAAACCACAAATTCATAAAAAGTGTTACAGAGCTCCGAGAAGCCGGGATTAAATTCGAGAAGACTAAATGTTCCTTATTGTTCGATGTTAAATTTGAAAATGGTATCATTAAAATCCCTCCCCTTCGAGTTGATGATGATACAGAGTGGCTATTCAGAAATCTGATTGCTTACGAGCAATACAGTGGAAAAACTAGGAATACTTATATGACCGACTATATGACTTTTATGGATTGCCTCCTCAATTCCCCTAAGGATGTCGAAATACTTCGCCACTCTGGAATTATTGATAATTGGTTAGGTGATGATAAAGTTGTTTCTACCATGTTTAACAAAATGTGCAATCAGATCATGGTCAATGTAAATTCTAAAACGTTCTATTATGGGAAAGTGTTCAAGGAAGTTAACGAGTATTGCAAGCATCGTCGTCATGGATGGATGGCTTTTTTAAGGTATAATTATTGCAACAGCCCGTGGTCTATTCTTTCAGTTACTGTGGCTACTGTGTTTCTGCTACTCACTGTGATACAAACAGGATGTTCTATCTTACAAGTTTAGTTTTAAGTAATGTTTTGAAGTTCTTAGTTAGAAATTCTAGTCAATTTGAATGTTTTTTAAAGCACTGCAGTGAAGTTTGGTTTAAATGGAGTTGTAAACTATTAACTTATATATGGAATTCTGTTGAGTATGTTATTTAACAGCTAGCCAAATAGAAGTTCGGCTATTTTTGTTAATGACTTGCAACTGGTTAGCTGTGCAGCTTGTGCTATGAGGAAAATCTCATTTTTTTAACAACATTACGAGGGATGGTCTTGAAAGTGTAACGTCTTGATCCAATTTCATAATATTCGGAGACTTAATAATCTCCACAACACAAATTCAATACCCATAAACAATATGCAATTTTCTTAGAACAAATTTATAAATCCGTATCAATTGATTCAGTGCTTGTCGTATTCTTTTAAATTTCGAAATCACTAAAATCCTAAAAAAAATGAATAAATAATCTCTCGATAACAAATGAAATTATAATCGATCAAAAATCATGGATTCTCTGATTAACTCGATCAGCCTTCTTTGGATATGCATCAGTCTGTTGAGGTTCGGTAGGCCTCCTAGCGTTGGTCGACAATAGTGGGCTATCGCAAATATTATTGTCTAACCATGATAGATCTCAATGCTCTTAATTTTTTTGTCAATTTTGATCAATTTCAATAATGCTCTTTCAACTTCATTGGGCCTAAAAAATAGTCCCTAAGCGTCCCACTGGTACCTAATACCTGATAGGAAAAAAAATTGAAGGCAAGAGAAGCTAAGTTTTTGTCAATGAACATGGGTCTTGATGCATTAAATTTTGGTCAAGTTAAATAATGGGTCATTTCAAATTCATTGCAGCATAATAACGTCTCTCTATGGGTCCCATTGACACCTAATGAGACTAAAGGAATCAGCCATGGATGAGTGATCATTAGTGAAATTGATAAAAATTATAATTGAGAGTACACGGACAGTTTTCAATAATATTAGTAGGTAACGGCACTGAAAATGAAAACATCCTGATGTGGTTGGAGTAAAATGGACGAAGTGACCTTAGAAGCAAAATCGGGGTCAGATGTGTATATGGCAATTCTCCTCTAACAGTAGATCGCATACCTATGACATTAGGCTAAGAGGGTATTTATAGCCAAGGATGTATGAATTATGCTTAAAACGAGGCCACGAGTAGAGTTGGGTTCCTTGGCAGTATGTCAAAAGGAGAACTTCCCTGATTTGTTCGTACATGGAGACAATTAGGGGCTAGCCCCTGTTGACAGTAGGTCAACTGCCCTCGAGCCTCGTCATTACTGTGTTGACAATTCCCTCGAAGAACGTAAGTCGAGCAGTTACTTCTTATTTATGTTCAGCGCCAAACATTAACAAAATACTCTTCACTGAATTAACCTAATTGACTAATCTTCTCTTTCAATCATTGAACGGGCAGCTTCATCAAGGTACCATATGTTTGGTCATATCTTTTATTTTTTATTTAAATTTGAAAACAAATCAACTTTATCCAATTAATTTCGTATTAGATTAATGCATCGCATCGAAAATTTGTGACCTCAGATATTTTATTGATGACTATATCATGGAAAAGATGTTTAGAAAGAATAATTTCTTCAAGTTGCAGTCCATGGTTGTTAGTGTATCTATGTCCAACAAATCGTTTGAATCTAACGATCTATCTTACAGTTTATATATTGATCACACTTACATTTTAATCACAGTAATCTAACATTCACATTTCAACTGTAGTATTAACTCCTTTCATTATAGATTTAATTTCACTTTACCTTTTAAACTATTGAATTTTTTGCATTGTCCCTTCATCTATTTGAATTACTTTTAATTTCCTCAAATGCAAACATCTGCTATCTTTTTTGGCGAAAATTATCAACGTATTTGGGCATTGTAAAATATTTTTTTATCAAATTTATAACGGACGCTAATAATTTTAACAATCCAAAAATAAAATCACAGATTTAAAGGTGCAATATGAAAAACAAACTAATTGAGGGAAAAAGGTGAAAAAAAGTAGGGCTATTAATTTTTGACATGACACGTTAACATAACACAAATCGAACACGAAATTAATAGGTCAGACATGAAATTAAACAAGTTAATGGGTTAAAACGAGTCAACACGTTTAAACATGAAAAAAATCATATCGAGTTCATGTCAAAATCAGGTCAACTCGATTTTGACCTGATTAACCCGTATATTTTAAACGGGTTGATATGATTCGGATACAAACCAGACCTAACCCATTATATACTCATTTATAACAGTATAGTTTGCCTATTATGTATGACTGATATGGTCTTAACATTATGATTCGGATACAAACCCGACCTAACCCATTATATACCCATTTATAACAGTATAGTTTGCTTATTATGTATGACTGATATGGTCTTAACATTATTACTTATTAGTTCTTCCTTCTCTTATGATAATTAGCAATATAGTTCTTAACATTATTATGACAGTATGCTAGTATAATTCTTACTTTAATTTTTGGGTTGAAACTTGAATGCATTTTAGTTAATTTTATTGATAAGATGTAATAAGTTATTTGTAAAAAAATTATTTAAAATTGTGGATGAATGATTAAATAATGTATTTAATGGTAATGAATTAGTGAGAAAACAAATTATGTGTGTTAAACAAGTCTATGTTATGTGTGCTAAACAAATTAAACAGATCATATTATGTGTGTTAACTTGAAAACGACATGTTTATTAAACGTGTTAAACAAGTCGAGTTCGGGTAATTCGTTTAATAGTTAGGTCAGTTTAGTGTTTATATATCTCAACACGATTATTAAATATGTCATGTTTGAATTTTGGAATTTTCAATACAAATTCGAGATCATCCTAACACAAAATAACTCAATCCGATACGTTCGATACCCCTAAAAAAAGGTCGTAATTGCGGGAGACATATGTCTGTGTTTGGTCTTCTAGACCAATCATGTCCTATCTTCAAGAACGGAGGAGGGAAGCGTGGGCCAAGGTGGGCAAGTGTGTCCCCCCCCACCCAAAAAAAAAAAAAATTATTAGTTAGGTATATATATTATATATTTGTATAATATATTATTTGTGCCAACCAAAACCCAAGATAAAAATATTAGGCCCGCTTTATTTATCCAAAAGAAATAAAAATTTGAGTCCACTATTATCTACTCAAACTTATTAAAAAATCAAATATTTGATTTATCATAATCCACCCAAACCTATTAAAAAAATAAAATATTTTGCTCAACATTAAAAACAAAACTTTTGGCCCACCCACAATTGAAAAAGGAAAAATTGGAAGGGGGTATATCAAATTAGACTTAATTGTAAAAAAATACACATAAAAAATGTTGGGTAATTAAGTCATTAATTTTGATACTTATTTAAATCTACGTATATTATTTGAATTTTAGTGATTTTTTTGTCCCCCATTAATCATGTGTATTTTCTTTGGAAAAATGGTATATTAAACATCTCCTGGTTTTATGACAGAAATTTAATATTCCATATTTGTATGTCCTCCCTTAATTCAAGCGTTTTTTTTTAGAAAGTAATTTTATTTTCAAACTATATTTAATGCACCTTGATTCATGCGTATTTTTTTTTTTGTTTGAAAGTGATTTTGTTTTCAAATTATATTAATATCCGAACAGTGTAACAATAATAGTGTAACAAGTCATTTACACAAAATATTGTAATATTACATTTTGTCAAATATATATTTTCATATAATTTCATTCAAAATAGTTCATCTCCGTTTTGAATTTGTTATCACATGCACAAAACTACTTAACACTGTTTTTGTTACAGTGTATTGTTATAATGTCTTGGTTACATTGTTTTTGTTACACTTTTATGGAGTTCGGATATTAACAAATTTTAAAATTCAAACAAGTGATATATTCTAAAATAAACGGAATATTAAAATTCTTCTATAAAACTAGTAGTAGTAAATATTTAATGTATAAATATAATTTGAAAATAAAACCGCTTTCCAAAAAAAAATACGCATGAATCAATGTGCGTTAAAGATAAGAGATTTTGAATTAAATGACCCTAAATTTTAGTCTTTAATAAATGTCTTGTTAAAGTTTTTAGGAAAGAAAATTTTACAAAATTGGCATTTGCGTCTTTGTATCTCAATTGTGTACTTTTTTTCAAAATATTTTGTTCTATGTATTTTTTTACAATTAAGTCTAATTAACTAATAGGTTTTTGGTTCAATGAGACTCCTTGGCTTGTGAAGGTTTTGCCTTCTTGAGGTCAAGGGTTCAAGTCCCCTTCCCTTTCCAAAAAAAAAAAAATTCTAATTAGGTGTAGCGGCTTCCAAAGAATCCATTAAAAAACATATAGTTTGGCCCACTTGATTAAAACCTATCTTATCTACTATCTTCGCTTTTTTTTTTCTTTTTGTCTCTTTGTCTCACTCACTCCCAGTTGCCCCAGCCAGAAGACATAGCAAAGAAACAGAGAAGAAAGAAAGCTCAATTCCTTACACCGAGACAGAGCCACCCCCGACAAAATAAATGTACCCTCTCTCTTTCTCTCTCTCTCTCTCTATATCAACACGCCCACACGGCACACACGTGTACACTACACTGTGCACAAAACACACACATTTAAGTTTTTTATTTTCAAAATTTTGAATTAATTAGTCTTGGTAAATTTTTGATTTTTTGTGCATTTTAATTTTTAACCCTAATTTAAATTTTTGTGCATTTTGCCCTTATTTGAATTTTTATGTATTTTTCTCTATTTGTTTTTGTGCATTTTTCCCTAATTATTTTCTTGATTTATTATAGTCCGGATTAGTAATTGGAGATGTTTTGAAGACTTTGAGTTGCAGTTATTGAATCGACAGTAAAAAATATTTTTTGGTAACTCTCAATCTGAACCTATTTTTAATACCTTGAATGATATTGTTTGGATTTATTAAAATGATGAATTGGATACTTTTATGCATTTGTACTTGTATTTGCTTTCTAATACAATATATTCTTTAGAATGGTAGCAATAAAATTGACAAAATAGTTTGTTTAATTAATTGTACAAGTAAATGTATAAACTCATTTTCTTGAATAATTTTTTGAAATAGTCATGGAGAAGTATTTTAAGAGAAAATCTGAGTCAGAATTATCACCTCTTCCAAACAGAGGTGGTGATTCTTCAAAGAAAAGTCATGTATATATTAATTTGGCGGATCTTCCATCAAATCCCAGACTACGACCTCAGATTATGGATTATAATCCAAATGATTAAGACCAAATTCGTAGAGCTTATCTACAAAAGGGTCCTTGTCAACCCCGCAACCATAATTTTCCATAAAAAGGATTTGGTGTTAAACTACGACGGTTTAACAAAGCTTGGTTTTCTCAGTTTTGTAATTGACTTGAGTATAATGTAGCAAAAGATGCAGCATTTTGCTTGTACTGTTATCTTTTTAAATCAGATATGGGAGAACAATCAGGTATTGAATCCAAAGCAAAGTATTGAAGCTATTTTCTCCAAACAGTCAAACCAAACTCGAAGTGAGTACAGAACCCAGTTAAATGCCTCCATTGATTGTATTCGATTTCTTCTAAGGCAAGGGCTTGTATTTCGTGGTTACAATTAATCTGAGAATTCAAGTAACCAATAAAACTTCTTTGAGTTTCTTAGATTTCTTGTTGATCACAATGAGGATATTAAAGCTGTTGTGTTGAAAAATGCTCCTGAGAGTTTCAAGTTGACTTCATCTGAAATTCAAAAAGACATTATAAATGTAGGTTCTGTTGAAACGTGTAATGTTATTGTGACCCGCCTTGATGATGCACTTTTTTTCTGTTCTTATTGATGAATGACGTGACATATCAACAAAGTAGTAAATGGCTGTTGTGTTGCAATTTGTGGACAAGAAGGGACATATATTTGAATACCTTTTAGGTTTTGAACAAGTTACTAATACTAGTGTTTTCTCACTGAAGGCAGTTGTAGAAGATTTATCAAGTTGAGTTATTTTATACCATCATAGATATGCAACTTTAAGAGCTAAATAGTCGTTTTATCGAGTCAAACACTAATTTTCTTCTTTGTGTGGCATGTGTTGAGTCCTTGTGATTCCTTCTTAGCTTTTGACAATGAGAAATTAGTTTGTCTTACCCAATTTTATCCAAAAGAATTTTCTTCACTAAAACTCATGATACTTTCTGAACAACTAGATAGTTATATTATTTATATGCGCTCTAATATTGAGTTTTCAAATTTGCTAGGGATTGAAGATCTTGTTTAGAAAATAATTGAGACAAAAAAACATGTGGTATATTCATTGGTCTACTTACTTGTGACATTGACATTGATCATGCCAGTTATGACTGTCACAGTAGAGAAAACATTTTCGATTGTGAAGATTGTGCAGAATCGATTGCATAATCAAATAATTGATCAATGAATAACAAATAACTTGATTGTATACATAGAGAATGACATTTTCGATTGCATTGATAATGATGTTATCATTCAACGCTTTCAAAATATGAAATCACGTCGTGGTCAATTGTAAAAGACTATAGTTAGTCTCATTTTTGTAAAGAGGTCTAATTAGAACATTATTTTGCAAATTTTTTTGGTTTTTGTACCCCCCATGTATATTAATTTTTGGCTCTTTTGTCAATGAAATTTTAGGTATTATATATGATTTAAAAAATTTATTTGTTTTTAACTTTAATCCTTAAGAATGCAAATTTTTAAACTTATACTTAGTGCCCCCCCCCCCTCCCCCAACATATAAATTCTTGGCTCAGCCCCTGCCCATCTTGTGTATTTAACAAAAATGACTTAAGCTTTCCACCTTGTTTTTTTTCAAAAAGAAAAAATATGTCTAATTATTGTCAATGTGCTTTCATAGTGTTTGAGATTTTTTGAGTAAAATATTCTTAGATACTTGTTTGTCATTCTACATATATTGTGAAGGGAAATCAGATGTCTCAATTGTCTATTTGTCTCAAGGGAAAGCTTGTTTCTTTACCATCTACACCCTATAAACCTTACATGTTCAAATAAATGACGCACTACATAGAGAAAACAATGGAGCATACGAACCATAAATAGTAGCAATTGATCCTTATCATTGCGACTATGTTAAGCTACAAATGATGGAAGAGTACAAATTATGGTACCTGCACGAGCTACTTAAACGGAAAAATGAGTTGAGTGTGGATGTATATGTCATAGCCATGCAACAATTTGAAAGAGAAGCAAGAAAATGTTATGTTGAATCCATTAAACTGAACGAGGATGAGTTTGTGGAAATGATGGTACCTGACTTTTATCATCGAGTTATTTTGCAAGTTCTCTTGTGAAGAACTTCGAGAGACAAATGACCCTATTTTTCAAATAGCCCAGATTAAGAATAGTATACAACGTGATTTACTATTATTTGAGAATCAACTGTCATTCTTTGCCCTCTTCAAGTTATTTGACATGAGCAAAGATCCAAACCAAGGAGACCCACTAGAGAATAGTTTTGTCTTAGCTCTCAGTTTTTTACTTCCAATCGTTCCAGTTATCTCGTATTGGTGTTATTCATTTGCTACAATGGTGTCTTCTCCTAGGATTGATGAAAACCAGGAAAGGAAATAGAGTTTTATGAAATGTACCACAGAGTTTCAAGAATCTGGGATTAAATTCGTAAAGGCTATAGACACTGCAACAAAAAATATTTTTGGCGACGATTTTAAATTTCTCGCAAAAAGTTTAATATTTGCGACGATTTTATAATTTTGTTGTAAATTTTTTTTTTGACAATTTTTTTACAACATTTTTTAAAAACGTCGTAAAAAAGCAATTCCCTCCTAATTGTTTTTGGCGGAAGAAATGGCGGAAATTGACAATTTTTTACCGCAAATTTTTTTGTTGCAAATAGTTTTATTTCATCGCAAAAATAAAAAATCTAAAATTTAAAGCAAAATAAAGTCTAAATTTCTATTTTGACAATTTTTTATAATATTTTTAAAAAAACGTCGTAAAAAGGCAATTCGCTCCTAATTGTTTTTAACGGGAGAAATGAAGGGAATTGGGAAATTAAATGAAAAAATAATTTAATTAATTTTTTGCAACTTTTTTTTAAAAACGTCACCGATAAATTTTTAAGTAAATAAAAAATTTTAAAAATAATAATTAAATTATTTTTTCCCAACATTTTTAGAAAAACGTCGCAAATAAATTTTTACATAAATAAAAAATAATAATTTAATTAGTTTTTCGCAAAGTTTTAAGTTTATCGGGAATATTCTTATCGCATAATATTTTTTTCCCAAGTTTTTTGTTTTGGTCGCAGAATATAATTGTTTAAAAAATTCTTTTGCCCTAAATTCTTTTTATTTTTTTGTTTGCGACGTTTTTTTGTTTCACAGAATATAATTCTTTTGCCCTAAATCGAGACCTCCCCTAAATCGATCCACAAAAATTCCAGACCACTAAGCGACTGACCACAGCTCCAAGAGGCAGCTCTCCAGCGACCACTCCGGCGACTGAGCAGCTCCAAGAGGCACCACTCCAGCCTCCGGACTCCGGACTCCGACCCCCACATCGTAGACTGAAAGCTATCCAAAGTCAGAACCAAAAGTAAGTTTTCTTTAGATTTTGATGCTCCTGTAAATCATTGAGTGATTCTGTGAGCACTATCATTGTTGATTTAAACTACTCATGGTATTGGGTTTGTTCTGTTTTAAAATTTTTTCTGTTCCTGTTCCATCATTTATTCCTCGCGGTTTAACTGATAAAAGATGCTTGAAAGCTGATTCTGAAACTTCTGTGAATCTCATAAGAAATCGTTTTCTTTCTCTTGACAACTCCTAATGATTCGAAATCGAAATCGAAATCGAGTACATCGTCATTTATGTCAAATGCTTTTCCCACAAAAAAATAATAGTTCGAGCATGGATACTTCTTCAAAGATGGACGATTTTGGGAGTTTTGCTTCTCAGAACCAACCATCTGTGCATTCCCCCGGTGTTGATGCGTTTGATTCTTTGTTCTCCTCATCCTCGGCCTCGGGTGGGGTTGCGACAAAAGAGTCTGAAGGGCTGCACAATGATCAGTTTTCGGGAGGCAATGATTGGGGTTTTGAATCAGAATTTGGGGGAGGGAATGACAATGGAGGGACAACTGACTGTACGAAGGTATGATCATAACTTTAAACTGTTAAAAGAATTTGAGGGTTCATACTTCATATGTTTAATTTCCATTTACACATTTTGAAGAAATTAGCTTGAGTTCTTATAGCATCCCAATAATCTTTTAGTTAAATTTTCGATTTTGTTTTCCTTTTTTTAGGTGGAAGTTATTGGATTTTGCTGAACTCAAGCGCAGTTCCATTTCATTTTTTGACATCGATAAACCTGAAACTGATGTATCACGTTGGTCAACAGCCAGAACCAGAGCTGCCAAGGTAAGTCGTGGATGATGTGGTATACACTTGCGTTATTGCCTCCTGATTATAGCTCTAACTTTTTTGTTTTTGTCGTCATTGACAGGTGGGGAAAGGTTTGTCAAAGGACTAGAAGGCACGCAAACTTGCTTTACAGCACTGGCTTGAGGCAGTAAGTTTGCTTTTATAGAACTTTCAACTACTAATACATATTGTTCTTCTTTGCTATTTGTTGATTATGCTCGTTTCTGTACGACAGATAGATCCACATGACTGTTATGAAACTTGATCCTCGTAACAGGCTCGCAAGAAGTACCATTCATCGCTTGACTAAAATGGCCGATTAGAGAAGTTTTGGAATTCTATTTGTGAACCTTTTCATTTCTTATATGCTTGATTACACTATCTCCCATCTTCATATCAACTTGTGGGGGGCTATTATTATGTTTCTCTTGAAAATTTGACTTACTTTGTTGATGCTTGTCTTGTGATTTACACTTATAATGTACTGTATTTCATATACCCTGTTGCTTGTGATTGGAAGTTGTCCTTCTTTGTTGCTTCAAATTGGCTTTGGAAAGACAAAGTTATAAGTAGTTTTGTTTTTGCTTTGCGATGTGTCTTGCCTGTGTATGAGTTGGGTTTTATTGTTGATGGCTCTTATCTTACTTTTGCTTTTTGATCATTGATCTGCATGCAGTTGATATAAGGAATCTTTCTGCTTCCAACACAAGCCTGTTCTATTTGGTTCTATACTGATACTGCTGTTCTTAGCTCCACGTTGTGCACATCAGTATATATTCTTTCAAATTGCCATATCCGTTTTGGTCTTTTCTTCACCATTAATTTTTTCTTGGTGATTACAGTACCAAGGGAGCTACTAGCAAAGCAAATAATTTTCCTGTACTAAGAGGGACCAGTAAAATTACTCTATTGTGATGTATGTCACGAGCTTGTATTACAAAAACAATTTCTTTACATAGTAAGACTACTAGGTACATTTGATTTTGGGCTTCTGCAGTGGTAAGCATAGGATATATTGAACTACCTATGCTGCTCACTGATTCCAACTAAGATGATTCAGCTTAATTAATAGAAGAGTATCGCTATTAAGAGTTAAAAATCAAATTTAATTTGTTAATTTAATGATATAATAGTACATGATTTAATAATAGTATTATGAAAATTGTGATACTGGCTAGCACTGCACTGATTTTCTCTTAGTTTATCCACACTACTTTATCAACACTTGTTTTCAATGTAAATACTGCCTCTCTCTTTCAATACCCTTATTCTATTTTCACTAATTTTTCAGAAAGTGGTATTCTTCCACTGGATGGAAGGTTGGTTTTGCATCAGGATCAGTCTAGGTTCCCTACTGCTAGGAGGAGGAAGGTTGTGTGTGGTGGTCAATTTGATTATGCAGATCCTGGATTGGGCCATGGTTTTATGCAGTGGTTCATGTCCAGCATTGTGGTTCAGATCCTGGCACTGATCTGTTGAGCTTGGAGATGCTATTTCAAGGCATGGAGTTGGACTACTAGAGTTGTTCAAGTTTAAGAGAATAAATATAATTAGAGATGGTTTAAATCCTCTTAAAGGATTAAAGCCATTTTTTCTATTTTTAGAATTTCTTGTTCTTTGACTCTTGTAATTCATTCTTTTTGAAAATATAAATTTTTTTTTTTAAAAAATGTGAAATATATTAATTGTGTTAGTTTTTTATTAAACACAGGTATTATTGGTGTACAGGTGAAAAATTTTATTGGAATATTATTTTTTATGAATTATTTTTTTAAAAAAAGAATGTTTTGCAACGAAATTAAAATTGTCAAAATTGTAGGAACAACCTGTAACGCAGCTATTTTTCTACGTCGCAAAAAATTAATTAAATTATTATTTTTTATATTTTTGTTTATGTAAAAAATTATTATCGATGTTTTTTTTACGTCGCAAAAAATAAATTAAATTATTATTTTTTACATTTTTATTTATTTAAAATTATTTGCGACGAATTTTTTATGTCGCGAAAAATTAATTAAATTATTATTTTTTATTTTTTACGTTGGTGGAGTAGATTTTAGCGACGTTTTTTTGAACTTTTCGAAATGTTTTTTCGTCGCAAAAATTTTTTGTTGCGATGAAAATAAATTTGTGATGAGACTATTGCGATGAACACGCAACCAAAAAAAAAAACGTTGCAGAAAATAATTGGCGAAGATTTTTTTTTAATTTAGCGACGAAAAAAATCGTGGCAAAAAACAATTTTTGTTGTAATGAGAAAGTATCTCTTATTGGATAACAAATTCATAAATGGAATCACAAAAATTCCTTCACTGATAATTGTTGATAGTATTGAGTCTCATTAGAAATATGGTTGCATACAAGCAATGTAGAGGAGGAAGCAAGCCAGCTTATATGACTGACTACGTGACTTTTATAGATTGCCCATCAACTTTCTGAAGAATGTCAAAATACTTTTCTACTATGGAGTTATTGATAACTAATTAAGCGATGATAAAACAGTTTCTACCATGTTTAATAAATTCAACAGTCATGCCCTCGCAAGTTCTACAACTTCTATTATTTAAAAGTTTTCATTCAAGTTAACGAGCATTGTGGACATCCTTCGAATAGATGGATGGGCAATTTAAAGAACAATTATTTCAACAAGCCGTGGTCCATCATTTCGCTCATCGGTGCTTTTGTGTTGTTAATGCTCATTGTGATACAAACTATATATTCTACTTACAAGGCTTGTATCGAGTCCAATTTGATTTACACACCCACACCTCTATCAAGTTCAAGTTGGTTCAATCAGTCCATAGTGCGATACCTGTGCATCCCTTAGTTTGTATGAATTTGCCAAAGGGCATTCTTGCTAGAATGAATTCTATAATGGCAGCTTTCATTTGGTCTAGCAAAGCAGCAGTAAGAAAGAGACATTGGTGTTCATGGGCTAAGATAGCTGTTCCAAAGGAGGAGCTATCTCACAAATGTATTTGCGGAATTCGTGTGACCACACTTGAAGGAATTTTTTTGAAATTTGTGGACTAAAATATGAAATTGCAAGAATGGATACCAATGACACAAATAGAAACCTTGATGGACCAAAGTGATTAAAGTGATAAAATTTAAAAAAAGGGTTAATTATACTGGAAGTCCCCAAAACATGAAATTTGTCTCATTTTAGTCCATAATATTTCAATTGCATCATTTTGGTCCTTAAAGTATTAAATATGTTTCTATATGATCTCTCAAGTAAGTAGTGTCCAAATTGCTAACTATTTTTTATTATAAGGTTGTCAGGTGATATTTAATATGGATAAAAAAATAATTTAGATATCTCTTGATCAAATTTCTATTGAAATTTTATTTAAATAGCTACCTAAATTACACAGTTTTGATCATGAGTTATCTAAATTTTGGTCAAAAACTATCTATATTACACATTTTTTTGGTCAAGAGTTCCCAAATTTTGTTTAAGAGCTATTAAAATTATTTGTCGTCCATATTTAGGTATTACGTGATAAGTTTATGATAAAAAATTGTTAGTAATCTGGATGTTGTCTGCTTGAAGGATTATTTAGAAACATATTCAATACTTTAGAGACAAATGATACAATTGAAACATTGAAGACCAAAATGAGATAAATTTTATACTTTAAGGACCTCTAGTACAATTAACTCTAAAAAAATGAATAATAAAATCATACAAAATATTAGCAAGACTTAAAATGTATATTTAAAATATAAACTTCATTAATCACTATCATTGATTTCATTGTGGGCTCCAATATTTATGAGAATCTACAACCTATTCAAACAGTGATTGATCAAATCTATTTTAAGTCCAAATAACATTTCCCGCAAAGTATCTGTAATGCATTGAAAAAGAGCATTGTCATTTACAATGTTAGGTCAAAAGTCTACCACATTGTATCAAATGATAGCTACTATGATCCACTTATGACATTGGGGTATGCCCAGCCTAAAAGTTTGGGTCAGTGTTGTATAAGTTTTTGAAAGAGCCAGGTTACTGGGCTTAGTGACACATAGGCCTGAAGATGCACATAGGGTCTATCAATTTACTCATCACAGTTATATTTCTGTCAATACCAAATTATTCCACCATTTACGACTAAAGAGAAAATTAAATATTCCACCATTTAGATTTGACCCTTGTGTCACTATGTTCTCCGAACTTTTTGCAAATAATAATTTTTTTTTTTTTAGATTTTTTGGTAATATTGACCACATCGTACAAACTTCTTTCCCGGGGGAGGGGGAGGGGGAATTTGATGCTACACTATTGGCGCTACAATTGTCCCGATACTTTAGACGCTCACGTGGAAAGTACGATGACTAAGAGATTCGGTGTAATTTTAATCTTGCTAAGTATATTTAATCCTAAGAAAATCAAATTTCTCTTGAAATTTCCCATAATGTTTGCCAAATTGTGCATGATACTCCACAAAATATATTTCCTCTTTAATATTAAATAGTCCTCTTCTATTTACCCTTTGTGAACAACAAGAAAAACGGCCCATTTGATTGGCCCGCAACAATTATTTTTGATTTGGATGGTTTGCAACGATTAATTTAAAAAATAATAAAATAAATTTTTTTTACATGTGACGCATTTTTATTAGATGAAAAGTGAAGTTACAAGACCCAAAAATGATATTTTGGTATTGTAATGGTACTCCAATCTGATTGATATGTGCATCGTACGTAATTTTAGCGATATAATTCAACTATATAGTCAAAAGTATTTAGGTTTATGCTGACATCCAGAGAGATTGTTTCAATTATTTGAACCGGTGTTGCCCAATGAGCTCATCGGTTTATTTTTTGCTGTCTAAATTGAAATATCAAACAATAAACTTTAAATAACAACTAATATTAGTAAAGACTTACTATAATTTTGGATTTACAAGAATGTTAGATGATATTATCTTATTTTTAATTAACTTTACATGGATTTGTGAGAATATAAACCATGTATGAAAGTATTGCAAAAAAATATATTTCTACACTTCCACACACTAGGAAGCCCACTGGGTCTCTATCCTGTTGATGAAATACAAGTTCATAGTGTCTTTCTTTTGGTGTACATTGATTGATCTAGCT